GTGACTGTAACAGAATATGTGAGACTGGGTAACTTAGGAAGTTTATTTGGTTCGTGCTTCTGGAGGCTGGAAGTCCAAAAGCATAGCTGTGACATCTGGGGAAGGTGTCATAACAGGGTAGAAAGCTGAAAGGTAAGTGGGAGCAAAGCAGAAGAGGCCAAGTTTGACAGGCAGGCTCACTTTTTTGGGGGGTGCTCAGTAATGGGGTTTGAACTTAGGGCTGAGGCAGACACTCCACTGCATGAGCCACTCCAGCCCTGTTTTGTGTTGGGTATTTTCAAGATAGGGTCTAAGGAACTATTTGCCTGGGCTGGCTTTGAACTGTGATCCTCCTGTTCTCTATCTCCTGAGTAGCCAGGATTACAAGAGCAAGAACTCACTCCCCACTGCAAGAACAAACCCAGTACCAAGAGAAAGGCATACTTCCCTTTTACTAATCTGATCACCTCCTAAAGGACTCCCTCTGCTCAACACAATGACAAATGGAAATTCAATTTCAACATGAGCACTTAGCTTTCTGTTCCTCATTTGTAAAATGGGTAAAAACGATATTTGAATATTGTACTAGTCATAAAGATTAGCTAATAAAAACAAAGCACCTAAAAATAGTAAATGATCAATAAACCTTATCAATCCTCCCTCACTCTATCCCACCACCTGCTTAATTTTTATAACACTTGTAAAATTATCTCAAAATTCTTATTTCTTTCTTTAATTTTCTGAACAGCTATTGCCCCACTAGAATGGAACCTCCAAAGGACTGGGTCTGACTTGCTCCATGCCTTCAGTGCCTAGAACAAATCCAAGAAAATAAAATCGCTCCAGCTTTTGCTTAAGTCAATAGCTATAATTCAAAAGGCTTTAAATTAATTGCTAGATAATTCAAAGTATTACTCTAGGAATACTATTCAATTTTAAATTGACCTAAACAAGTACTTGAACTGCATATATACATATACATACACACACATATATGTGTGTATATATATATGTGTGGGTGGGTACCTATGTATGTATGTAACCTTGTAATATACAAGGTTATAAAAAACAATTTAATGGGTCATAACCAACATTTTTTAATGAAATATAATAGAAGTTATCAGAGCACACACATATATGTGTGTGTGTGGTTTTGGAGTATTTTGAACTATTCTGTCTTGAAATGTTACCTTTTTTTTTGGTGGGACTTGAGCCACACCTCCAGCCTGTTTTTATTCTAGTTATTTTGGAGATGGAGTCTCTGGAACTATTTGTCTGAGCTTGGCCTTGACCTCACAATCCTCCTGATCTCAGCCTCCCAAGTAACTAGGATGACAGGTGTGAGCCACCAGTACAGGGCAAAATTTTACTTCTTTAAGAAAGGAACGCTTTCTGGGACAGCCAGTAAACATTTGGAATAGAATAAAAGTTTGAGGCTTTTTATTCACATTTTATAATGTAAAATGTGAGTTCTGACTTAGTCTAAAAAAGCATATTTAAGTCTAAAAAGTATTTTTGGTACTAATTATTCAAATATCTAAGGCCCAAATGAGAAAGTGTGAGACACTGAGAGAGACAAGCAGTAACCATTCATGCTCCCTGAGCTGAAGTTAGAGGCCCCTTGGGAACTGGGAATTGGAAGATAGTGGAAGCCCGGTGGGGAGGAACAAGGGGCTCCACACAAACATCTTAGAGGTCATGGCTGGGGTTGGAAGGTCCTCTGGACTCAACCAGGCTAATGGAATCCTCCTTAGGGTAACAACTGCAGAGGGTGTGAGCACACCATAAGACACAAATATTCTAAGACAGGACTCTTGTTTCTCCCCAAGATTGCTTCAAAAGATTTTAAGTGGTGCTTCTCCTTCTTACACCCTCCCTATCCCATACACCCTTAATGGCCCTAAAACTCGCACTGTAACACAGATCAAATCATGTCACTCCTTCCCTACTGACAAGGCCCCAGTGCACTTCTAATCTCATGGAGCCCTTACCTAGCTTTCCACTACCTCATACCACCCTCCCCCACGTACCCCACCCAGCCACTAAGCTGGCATGAACTCTCCAGCCCCATGTGCCCAACCTCCTGCTCTTTGTGATCACACGCCCACCTTCCCAGGCCTAGCTTCTCACCCCTGGAAACCTCTCCTACCTGCTCACTGTGCCTGGCTCACTCAAAACCCAAACGTCCTCAAAGCACTCAGTGCACTCTCAGTTTCTCACTCCAGAATCCTCTCTCCTCAGTCTTCCTATTCCCAGGAAACCGAGAGACTGACACTTGTAGGTCTCAATGATCAGATATGGGATTTAAAGTAATATGATTTGCTCAACACGTGTTAAAATGTTACTCGTTTCCTGCACACACAAGGGCGTCCCCCACCCCAGGGAGTCTCATGTGGCCTTTTGTTCTAGGTGCCTAGATTGGTTTTTCTAACCTGGACTTGAACATTCTAGTAGATGATTTCTAAGTAGTGGAGTTAAATATGCTAAATCAAAACTCCTTTTCCTCTGAGTTACTTAATTCCCTTCTTTTTTAAAAAAATGATATAATCACCACCTTGTTGTCCAACATTACCTGAAATTTACAGTTCGTTAGAACCATATCTTTCAGAATTACAGGCCCCCAAATTTTTGCATCTTCAACCTGGATGCCTCAAGTTACAAAATACAATATTGACTCATGGGCTTGCCTCAACTGTACCACAGCACAGCCAAAAAAATGCACCTGGACTGCCTCTCCTCATGGGTGGGGTGAGGATGCACACCCAGGAGAACTGAAAACAGAGACAGGAAGCTATGCCTTTCTTCTCCGTTCTTCACTGGGAGATTCAAAGAGAACAATGTTATCGTCACTCTCCACACTGAGATCTAAGACCATCTAGAAAATGATCAATTTTATAAATGATCAATATGTAGCACAAGAATAATAAAATGAGCCAGCATTTGGCTACCAGTTATTTCAGAGGACTGGTGGTGATTGATGTGTTTAATTCAAGTTCAGCAAGTAGGAATACAATGCATTCTGCAATCCTCAATGATGGGGCTGGTTCTTTCTTGATTCACATCTATAAAGTAATTGGCTAAAATCACAAAACCGCATAAAAGTATGTGATAATATACTTAGTGTAGACTAGGAAATCAATTGAAAAAAAGGTATTATTTAACAATGAAGTATCAAAGATAGGTGATTGCTTCCTGCTTTTGTATATAAATCAGACAGATTCCAGGGTGTTCCCTGAAAATGTCAACCACTCTTTTCAGAAGACAGTTTCAGCTAGGCTCCCCCTTGAACTTCCCCTGTAGTCTTTTTCTTTTTTTCTCTCTCTCTCTCTCTCTCTCTCTCTCTCTCTCTCTCTCTCTCTCTCTCTCTCTTTCCTTCTAGGGTTTGAACTTGTCATCACTAGCATTGTGGCTCAGAATAAAAGGCTGGGAGCCAGTCATCAGTGGCTCTCAGACTTAGGCATTTCAAAGCCCAATAAAATATCTGGCAGGAAAATGAAGAAGCCTGCAACAGACATTTGATTCCATTACAGAATTTTTATAGTAGATAAAATCTTTCAACCCATTCAGCATTGCACCACCATTACCAAATCGAAATTGGGATTCTACAGACTTTGAATCCCCAAAGCAGTTCAAAAGAAAGTTACCACTTGGATATCAGCAGGTATCACCCCTGCCCTTTCATCTGGTCCCCCCTCTGCTTCCTGTGATGACACCAAGGGCTGAGCCCAATACTTCAGTAGCCATAGGGGACCCCCATCAGGAGCAGACAGTTTGAGACAGCTCCTGCTCAAGGACCTACTAAGGTCAGGGTAAGAGTCAATCAACAAGTAATTTGGAACATTTAAAAATTGCCAAAAGATTTCTCTTTGGTTAATATGACTGATCACTAATTCCTACCCACTCATAAATTCTGCCGAAATGAAAAAAAAATGAATACACTGAAATACTTACAAATGAAATTACATTATCATTTTTTAAATTTCAAAATGGTGGAGATAGGAGTAGATGGGGTATTGAATAATATATAAAATTGGCCAGGCCACTGATAAATTTTTAAGTTGGATGACGGACACATGACTCAACATACAGTTTTTCCATTATACTACTTTTGTGTATATTTGAAATTGTCCAAAATAAAAAGCAAAAGCTCAGCATGAAATCAAGTTTCAAAGAAAACTATTAAAATACTCAGGAAAAATCTATCCAGTGCATAAACCTGACTACATATTCTTCTGCACAGAATAAAAGCCGATCAGTTCTCAGAGGGCATTAAGCTTGGCCCTTTTTACTAAGGCAGCTTAATTACAGGGACTCAATTGAGGTTTCTGCTAAAAGGGGATGGGGGGCACAGAGAGAGAGAATATTAAAGCATCCTTTGAAATGCAGCACAGGTTACAAAACCAACAAGATGTAAGCTCTACTTAAGCTTTTTGTCTAGTCAATTTAAGGGGAGCTTTGTAAAAATCTCAGCTATGCAAAAAATAGACAAAACACAACAAAATTTAGAAAATGCTACAAATTTGCCATGCGCATAGAAGCCACTCTAGCAGGTAAAAGCTAATCCTTCAGAGCGAGGCATCATAGCAACCGAGGGTAACGAAAAAGGCAAAGGCGGCGGTTCAGTCTTTCAGAGTTTGAACTTTTGACCTCCTCCCAAAACGACACGAAAGAATTTCTAAACCCTGGAAATAGAAAGAATGCTTTCTTCCTTGAAGCCGTTACCGTTTACCACGTTCACTTTTAGCCACCGGGCTCAAAGTACCAGACTAAAAAAAGCATATTCTAAAAGCGATGCAAACTGGATTAAGAAAAAAATGTTAAGTACTGCAACAACAAAAAAGCAGCGAGTCAAGGCAACACTGGAAGTACGGCAGCGAAAACCACCCCTCAGCCTCCCTCTCTTAATTTTTTATTCCTCTTTCGTCCACAAAAGAGATCAAACTTTTTTTTTTCTTGGTCCTCTTTGTTGTCCTTCCTTCCTGGGATCACGCAAAACGACTTGAAAGGTGTACTGGAGGCAAGCCACTTAAACGAAATCTACCGCTTTGGGACAAAAAATGCAGGTGCGTCCGAATTCAGCCCACACCTGAGCTGCCCCACGCGTCCCCGGAGGTCGCCACCCTGGGGAGGGAGGTCCCGGGGTGGGGGCGGCGCGCACCTGAACTGCCGGCCGCCACTTCCGAGTGGAAGCCCGGATGCTACCTGATGCTACCTGGATCCGCCCTCTGCAGCTGTGCGGGTTCTCACGCACTCCCGCGGCCGCCCAGGTGAGACTCCGGGACCGCGGGACAGCCGTGCACCGCCGAGCTCCCGCGCTGCCGCCGCGCCGCCTACCTGGCCAGCCCCAGGCACCGCCCCGCGGGGAGCTCCGCGGCCGGTTGGGGAGGCGGGGGAAAGGGGGGACGGGACAGGCACAGCTCCTTCTTTTAGGTGCCAGGAAGCGCCCCGATCCCGCGCTCCCGGAGCGCGGCGCGGGGATCCCGGGAGCCCGGAATGCGCCCCGGCTCCCGACGCCCGCAGCGGGCCGGCAAGGGATAGGACGCGAGCCCCGCGATCGGGCTGGACCCGAAGGGACGGGACAGGAGCCGGCGGGCGGCGGCCACACTCACCCAGGCAGCGGATGTGGAAGCCCGAGGGTGGTCGCAGCGCCCGGCGCGTCCAGCCCTCGCGCAGCGCCTCCAGATGCTCCTCCTTGCCCTGGATCAGCAGGACCTGCTCGTCGATCCAGCCCAGGAAGAAGGTCTCGGCCACCGCGGCCGTGACCTTCTTGTTCCAGAAGTGTTGCATGTTTTCGGCTTTGAAATCCGCGAAGATCTCATAGCCGATATGGTGTCGGGCCAGCTGCCGAGGTTGGGCCGGGGGCGCGGACTGGGCTGCCCGGGGCCTGTCCCCTGCCGGGCCCTCGGCCGGGCCTAGGATGATGGCCAGGGAGTGAGGCGCGATCTGCAGAAACTTCTCCATCTTCACCCGCACCCGCCGCGCGGACCCCGCTCACCGCGGCCGCCGCCTCCCGCCGCTCCTGGGAACAGCCGCCGGAACGTGGCTGCAGGACAAGCGAGGAGCGTCAGGGTCCCCTTCCGCCCCCAGGGTCCTGCTGACCGCGCCCTCCCCCGTCCGAGCGCCCCAGACTCCCGGGAAGCCAGGGCACCCCCAGGTACAGCCCCCTGGCCGGCGCCGCGCACAACGGGAAGGGGGGTGCGGAGCCCCCTCCGGCCAGGATCTGTCGCCTTACCTGCAGCTCGGGGCCACCCTCGGGGCACCGCTCATTTTCCAGCGGCGGCACCCGCGCCTCCCTCGGCACCCGGCAGCCCCGGCGGAGGCGGAGACCCGGAGGAGGGTGCCGAGGAGGCGGGCGGTGCGCACCGAGCCCGGGGAATCCCCCTGGCCTGACTCGGCAGAGAAATTCCCAGAAGTCCGGGGCAGGAGGTGGTCCAGGTGGTGTGGATGGCCAGGGTGGGGTGAGTTTAGGTGGCGGGGGACAGGGTACACCGGAGGCGGGGGAAGGGGGGACGCGCGGCGACACTTGGAAGGCACCGATTCCCGAGCTGCCGAGTCGCTCCGCCCCACGCTCCACCCCCACCCCAACCTCCCACCTCCCTCAGGAACAAGTGGATTGGACTGGTTAATATACCCTTGGAAGTGGCTTTTTAAAAACCTAGTCAACCACGAAAAATTGCCATCAGTCCCTCCTCCCGAGCTCTAAGGAGCTCTGCTCTCCAGCATGTACTGGGGGCCTACCCAAGAGGAAGCCAGTAATCCCAGGGTTGGCCACACAGCCCTCAGTTTACCTGGAAAGGTAATGATTATACCTTTTTAAAGCCTTCTAGGCTTGTTTTCTATGCAAGGTTCTGATTTGCCTCGTTTTTATCTAGAGAGACTTGTAATCGTGTCTAAATAGGTGATTTGCGTCGGGATCACCTGTAACACTTGTTAAAACACAGTCTCTGATTCTGCAGGCCGGGTGGAGGGGAGGATGCTGACTTTTTAAAATTTCTAACCAATTCCTAGGTGTTGCTGCGGCTGCTTCTCGTCCCGGACCACGCTTTGAAAAACAGCGAACTACAAAGAAAGGTCCAGCAGGCCTTTGGGGAATGGAAGGAATAACTGAATTGTTAGCAGCTGGCATCCTTAGATTTTAGTGTCATGAAAAAGTCCCTAAATGTAGGTCTGAAAGCCTAGCTTTTCGTCTTACCAGAGGGTGACCTTGAATATGTTGCTGAGCCTCAGTTTCCCCATCTGTAAAAAGGGAACTGCTCTGTCCTGCTCCGCTTCTGTCACTGGATGGGGAAAGAATCATGCAAGGAAGTGGCTATGACGTCACCGGGGATTATAAAATTTGCAGTCAGCATGAGGGTGTTATGGCCAGAAACAGACACCAGTGCTTCTTGAACCCCTGAAGGCCATGGCCTGGGTTTGGCATGAAGAAGACAGCTGAAGCTCTGGATCCTGCCCGGAGACTTTCCCAGGCCCGGGCTGCGTGGAGAGCCCTGTTATTTTCCTGCCCGGCTTTAGTGCTTTTGCTCTAAGCCTCAGTTTGGCATTTGTTAAAATGCTGCATTCTTCCATCTTTTCTCAGTGCCTGGGTTTTAGAAAGAGATGGAAAATGGGAGAAGGAAAGATGTTACACTTGTGAGGGTTTGGTTTTCTCTTCTTTTGTCTGTTTTTAGTTTGCATTTACCTCTTTAATTTTTTATTTTAACATAAATTCAGACACAAAAATTGCAAGAATTTTTCAAGGAATACCCACTTATCTGCACCAAGATTTTCCAGTTGCTAACATTTTTCCCTTTTTAGACACACACAAATTCTTTTTTCTAAACAATTTCTTAAAATCTTTCTGCTGTGAATTACTGTTTCACTTTTTTGCAACTAACAAGTGCCTTTTGAAAGACGCTTTGAGGTTATATAAGCATATCGTTACTCCATTAGCTAAAGTGGTCATGGATTCTACTTGACTTGGTTATTATGATGGCGGATAAATTCCAATATTCCAATTTCATCATTCCTTTTTTTATTCATTAATTGGCACTTTACTGTAAAGATGAGCTCTCCATTCTCCACCTGTCATTTGTATCAGTAGAGACCGTGCTTTACTCGCACCTCATCATCCTTGAATCCCAAATTCAGCCCATCGGACCCTCTGGAGGTGGCTCTTTTGTCCTTAATTGGTTGCTTCACTTCCTGAATACTTCCTTATTTTTCTGGCACTGTAGGGGGTTCTAGGATCATTCTGTTCCATTTGGGGAATCGGCCATTTTTCCAACTTCTGGGTCTTTTTAATGGACAGTGGTATTTAGAAACCAGTATCTGGCCACTTGGTGTGCTCATTGCTGTTGAGGTGAAACTTGTCTCTGATTAGTTCGCTTGTTGATGACTATCCCGCCCCTCAAGACACTAAATATCCTCTCTGTACAATATAAATGTCCTCAACTGCCTGTGTTGTAAATGCTGGGCACTGTGACTTAGCTCAAAGTGTGTGTCTGGGGCAGGACCTTGGGTATTCAATCTACTCATCAGATAGAGGAGGGTTAGGCAGGGTACCCCTCGGATCCCAGCTTTCTCATCTCCGACATGAAGAGTTGTTATAAGAAGCAAGAGAACATGTGTAAAGTACCTGGCACCTGGCAGGCATTCAATACCAGTTTCTTACCTCTTTAGTCCTTCATCTATGGATATACTTTCTTCCTTAGTATCACACACACACACACACACACACACACTTTCTGTTCTCCCACAGTACAACTGAATTGCAATATTTAGACATTCCCCTCCATGGAATAAAAGAAATGCTGCGCTAATCAGAGGTGTGGACTTTGCTCCTTCTTTTGTAAGATCTATAATGTCTTACTTAAAAAAAAAAAAGGCATCTAACCATAAGAATGAAGGAAACTTCAAGGTCACCCAGACTGAATCCTTTCCAGAACTTTTCTAAATGACTGTTGATTACACAAGACCATCTCATGACACAGCCCTTTCCACAGTGCTTCCAAACTAATATGTTGGCCACAGAAGCCATGGCATCTGTCATGTGTGGGGGTCTCCTGATCTGCTTCCCTTTGCTCTGAGCCCTGAGCCCTTAAAAGTCTCCTGAGCATTTGGATGCCCAGAACTCTCTCCCTATCTTTCCCGAACCTTGGTGCTTCAAGATCCAAGACAAAGCAGGTTCTGTGATGTGGGCCTTCTTGCTAATCCAAGGGACACCTTTGGTCAATTGACCCTAAAGCAGTTCTGTTTGTGCCCAGAATGTCATCAAGCATAGCCTTTTCATTCCTCATTAATGACTTTTGAGCAGAAATGCCACAAAAAACCATTTGCAAGTGTGATACATCTTTTTACCTAGGAAAATAAATGTAATACTGCCTTCAAATAGACCACTTCTGACATTCCCAACCAGATATTTCCCTCTTTAAGCACCATCTCAAACATCTTCTATCCAAAGATGGGCTCTGCTATTTTTTGAAAACTAAATGATCTGTCTGAATGATTTTTCCAGAACAAAGACCACTTTCTAGAATATGCAAAGGAACAGTGCTTTCAAATAACTACTTCTTGAAAGACTGCTTGAAGCTTTGACAAATAGGTCTTCTGCCATTCCTACCTAGGCTCAAAGGCCTTACAGCCAAGTTCTAGTCAAGACTAAGACTCAAAGTTTCTCTCTCCTATCCTTGAATCTGCAGAAAGCAAGCTTCTTTTCCCAAACACATGGTTTAAGAGCTCAGCCCTAAGATGTCTGGACAAGTCCTACACACATACTTTTTCATGTCTAGATTGGGGATCATTGTCTTCTTGGGCAGCAATCTCTCTTGATAATAATAGAGTGAATTTTATTCCAGCACTTAGACTTGGAAAGGTCTTCAACTCTTGCAAGGGCACTTTTCAATAGATAGATTAGCATTCTCATTATTTTATGGATGAAGAAACTAAGGGCACTGAGAATGTAAGTGATTTGTCTAGGATTCCCCAACAATGAAGTGGTAGAATTAGAATCTTAGGCTGTTCATCTGCAAAGCCCACCCTCCACATTGTCTCATGTGTTCCACTTAAGCTAACCAACCACTGGTAAGTGGAGTTTTCTCAATCAACAGGGCCTCTTGAATAAATTGTGTATTGTGACATTTGTATTTGTGATCTCTTGACACATAACAAACCACCTCAAAACTTAACAGCTTAAAACAATAGATATTTCTGTTGGAAATCCAGGAATCCAGGCCCAGCCCAAGAGGATGCTTCTGGCTCAAGGTCTCTCATCAAGTTGCAGTCATGCCAGATCTGCAGTCTCACCTGAAAGCTCAGCCAGGTGAGGGTCCACTTCCAAGCCCACTCACATGGTTGCTGGAAGGACTCAGCTCTTGAGGGCTGTAGGACTGAGGTTCTCTGTCCGTCACTCTCTGGTTGTCCACACAGTTCCTTGCAACACAAACCTGTCCATAAGGTAATTTACAACACTCCAGAAGGTTTCCCTCATATTACCCAAGGCACAAATCACAATTGACTCTTGGAAGTAATGTCCCATTATCTCTTAATACTGCTTGCTAGAAGTGAATCACTAAAACCTAGTCCAACTCAAGAGGAGGGAAATAAACAAAGGTATGTATACCAAGCTGTAGAGATCACTGGGAGTCTTGGAAGCTGCTTACCACACCATTGATACTGAACCATGAAAAGGTTCCATTATTCACACAATTGCAATAAAGTGACAAAAGAGCGACTTCTAATACACTTGTTCTCCCTTTCATATTCATAGCAAGCTCTTCACACACATGCCTGTGTACACACTGCACATGCACACACACACACACACACACACAAAGACACGCACCAGAAAAACTATTGCTCTTCCAAAAAAGAATGGCCATCTTAGAGGATCCACCATCTTAACTCACTGAAACTGGGATGAGAAAACTTCTTCAACGTAGACAACCTTTGACATTTCCAACCAGGTATTTTTCTTGTGGAATTCCATCTCAAGCATCTATCCAAAGATGGGCATTTCTATGAATTTGATAACGAAATAGCCTGTTTGAATGAGTGCCTAGAAAAAGACCACTATTGGCTCAAAGAATTCTTTATTAGTTCTTAACGACTGTCATCACCTGCCTTATTATCCACCTCAGTAGCTTCATCATTGCCATTTACTGATCACTCACTAGTTCTTGGCAAGGTGCTGACATCTTTCCATACACAGTCATATTATTGGGAGGGCTTTTTCAGAAGATTGATGTAGTGACAGTGGTATTTGAGATAAGTGACTCGGCATGTTTTCATGTTCAATAATCTTCAATTCCATTTATCCCATAGTATCCTGCATCTATACGCCCCATTTCTGCTCCATGTCAGCTCACCAAAATTTGCTTTTTTCCTGTCTTCCCTGCTCTGTCTCAGACACACACACACACACACACACACACACA